TTCCTTCATACTCAGAGGGCAAAAATTCAAAGAGTAAGGAAGAGGTGCCTCTGGACATAACAAAAGGAGTCCTCAGGCTCATACAGTATTTACCCTCGTTCATCAGAGAAGGAAATCACAGTTATTTGAGGCCAAATGGTCATAAAGAATATGCAATTGCCTGGATCCTCTCAGAGCAGGAAACTGTTGACTGAAGATTTCTATCAGGGTACATGATTAACACTAACTTAAACATTTAATTTTTCACTTTTCATAATTCATCTTCTGTAGAACCATCTGATCACAACTACCTGCATATACTCTCAGTTCAAAGATGAAAATAACTGCAAACAAACTGGAATTCAACTTAGTAGTTGTACTTTTCACAGAGATATGCATAAAGCAATACTGAAATTACCCTTTACATAGTGGAGGACAGAACAAATGAACAAATCTATAGGTGATGTTGGGTGCTATAACTTTCACTGTTGGAAAAGGTAGACATAGATATTGAATTCAGAAAAACTAGGAAGAATCTTGTGGTACTGGATTAGAATGAAAGGTGTCAGCGTAATAGACATATATATAGGTACACCAGTAGACACTGATGTGATGATTATGCATGTGTGTGTGTACGTAGACGTATGCATACATTCATCTAGTTCCTAACAGATGTATCTGTATACACATCTCTCTGCTGAGAGAACCTAGAAGCAACAACACTGTTAGCAATGAGCATACCTAGTGCCCAAATCTAATTTTCTCAATACCATCCTCTACTAAAAGGAACCAGGGCTCTCTGGAGAAACAGCTGATTCTAGGGCTGGGGCCGGAAAATGACAAAATGAGCCTGTAATACTTCATTATGCCAGAAATTAAGGACATAGTCATACAATGGTTGGGGAATTTCCAAAGGCTCAGGACCCAGCTTGAAGGCACTTACAACCTGGGACAACTTGAGCACTGAAATTAGTAAAGACAGTGATGGATTATAGCTCATTTAATAAACCAAAAGTTCATGAGTCAATAGACAGTAAGAGAAAGAGAGAAGGAGAGAAAGAAAAAGAAAAAAAGAGAAGTTTCTTATAGTAGGGTGGCAACTAACACACATAGAAATATGATGGAGTTGAAAATTCACCATTTTGCAACTACCATAGGCAAGAATCATCATATGAATATAAATTAGTGAGTGAAATTTTGAAAAGAAATAAGATATTATGTAGCCTCAAATATTTATCTCTCCACAAACTACTTATTAATTCAATAGAGCAAAATAGTAACATTACAGTAGAGGCACCTGGCAGACACCACCTTCAGCAAATGACTAAAGTCAACATCACTGAGCCCAACCAGACATAATATGCCTCCTGATAATGAGGCACTAAGAAAGACACAGTATCATTTCTGTGGTGTTCCTGCCCAAAATGCATAACTTGAATCTAATCATGAGGAAACATTAGACGAATCCAAACTGAGAGACAGTATACAAAAAACTGGCCTGAACTCTTCAAAAAAGTTTATATTATATGAAAGACAAAGAAAGGCTGAGAAATTGTTTCACATAAAAGTAAACTAAAGAAACATGACAACTAAGTGTACTACAATCTACTGGATGGTAGGATAGATAATAGTATTACTGAATTAAATACCCTGTTTTGATCATTGTACTATGGCAATGTAAGAAAATGTTCTTATTCTTAAAGGACATAGTTAAATATTTAGAAGCAGAGTCATGATGTCTGCAACTTACTCCCAAACAGTCCATGAAAAATATAATAATAATCATGACATAACAATAAGAATGGTGATGTATATTAAATATTCAGTTCTCTTTTCTTAAAACTAAATAATCTCAATTATTTTAGTCTTTTAAATTTATATAAGACAAAATAATTGTCTGGTTTAAATAGAAATTTGGGAAGTTAAAAAAAGGATCTGCAGTCTCAATCCAATTCAATTTAATAAAAAATTATTGAGAACCTATCAGGGGTCCTTTATTTAAAGAGCTCACAGTCTATTGGAGAAGGAAAACATGCATATAAATATAGTGTAAAAGAAGTGTACTATAGCATTCTAAATGAAGCATAAGTAAGTACTAAAGAAATGTTGAGAGGGAATGCTAATTCTGACTACTATATTAGTATTATTTAACATTTATTATTTACAGTTAGGCACTGTACTAAGTGTTTTATATATTCATTGAATGTACCAACAATCTTATAAGATAGGTATATTATTATCCCCATTTTGTAGATGAGATCACTGAAGTACAGAGAGTTGTCAGTTTGAGAATACAGAGAATTCAGAGATTCTAGTTGAGGATCTGGCCATAGGTTATCTAGCTAGCTAGATAGTAGCTCGGATTTCAAACTCAAGCAGGCTGACTTCATAACCCATGCAGAAGCCTCAATGAAAGAAGCAGCATTTGCCTTGATCCTTAAAAGATGAATACAATTTCAGTGGAATGGGAAATGGGAAGAAGAGTATTCAAGGCTGGAGGAAAAATAAAGGTGAAGGCATGGAGGTAGCAAATATACATTGTATAATGGAAGCAGTAAAAAGTTCAGGGAATGGTTTGTAAGATGGAGGAAGAAAAATGGATGACAGCACAGGATGAGAGATTAGATAGGCTTACAAAATATATGAGACTCCATCATGAGAATTAATACAGTCTTTGATGGTAAAGAAGCTGATTCTTATAATATGCACCACAATCTTGATATAACTCAGTGGAGTCAGTATAAGGAGTCAGTCTTTGAAACATCCAAACGATACCTTATTATAATAAATTTCTCATAAAAGACAGTACCAGAAGACAAATCATCAGAACATGTTTGTAGTGACCTCCACACCAGTATGTACAATAATTTCATTTCACAAAGGTTCTATTACTATGCGATATGGAAACTGCCAGACTTGAAAATAGAAAATCCAAAATGACACAATTCTACCTTAGCTAACAAGACTATAAACCTTTTAAGAAACAGTGAATAAAACGTGAGTAAGCCATGTAGCTCTGCTGTTATAATTCCATCTTTGTCATTATATTTATGAAAATAAGGTGATCCAATTAAAGGGATATAATGAGTAATATATTCCATGAACTCCATTAGCTATGCACTTCTAACCAGTAAAAGGACCAGATATGAATGCTTAATGTCAAATTTTGCGTTGGTAGCAAATGTAATTGAGTGCTCATATTAATAAGTGAAAATATTCTTTTCCCTTCACAGTAAATTAATTATAAAGCAAAACATGTGGCACTTAAAAAGCTCTGTTTTCATTTCTTAATATAAATATTAATAAAAATCTGATTTTTATTTAGTAAATTATAGGTTTAACTCCTTCAGAATCTATACTATAACTGAAGAGTATACAAAATCTAATTGCATGTATAATAAAGATAAACATTTAAATTTTGTAAAATGTCAAAAATTCTTAAAACATTAACAAATTCATTAGTGACTATTTTTCAAATATTTAATAAAACACCAAAAAATGGATTTCATTTTTATAAAATATCTTTGCAGCAGAGTTCTTAACTATCCAACATAATCTTCCAGTTTGGAAGAATCCTAATTCTAATCTAACCCTTGACTGACAGAACAGAATTCATCACTGAGATACAGGCAATATTAGGAAGCAGCATAGAAAAGATGAATACAAAAAAGAAAGCCATATGATTTCAAAGAGCATTTGAAAAATCAAAACTTGTATTTGGCTTAGTATAAAACTAAAGAATATATGAAGATCTAATAAATAGAACAGTGAGCTATAAAAAAGTTCTTCACCTAAAAATAACTAAAAGGGCATTCAAAATTCAACAATCATCCTTTACATGTACAACTGGATTTCTGAGAGTAAGGAAAACCCATAGGGCCTTAAAAAGGGGGAAAGGAACTAAAAAGAACTGTAATTATCTTGAACTGACACCACAGCTGCCTGGAAGGTATTTGCTGGGATCCAGGCTTTAACAGCTAGAGAAAGAAGAGAGGCTAGTCCTTGACCCCTAGCATGGTGGAGAGTTGAAACTGGTATCACTACATGAAAGCCGAAACCTTGAAAAGCTATATTCATTATGAAAAGATGCATTTCAAAAAAAAAAAGTTCTCTCAAACAGCAAAGGAAGATGATAAAAGTAAACTTTTCTGTTTAAACCTCAGCCCCAGATAGAAAAGGCTGAAGGAATCTCAATCTGAAAAACTAATGATAAGTTCTAGTGCCTTCAGTTCTATACTTCAAGATGCCTCACACAAACAAACATTAACTATTTCTGTGGGAATTCATTCCTAACCCAAGCCCCACAAGATTCTCAGATTTAGGTAACCCCAAAAATGAAACTTATAATCTAAAATTACAAAACTAACAGGGAAACAGAGCCAGTAGTCAAGTCAATAGAAACAACAAACAATGGAACTAGACTTCTATGGGCATCAGCTATTAGAAACAACAAATACAGATTATAAAATCACAAATTATAGCAAGAGGAAATTGAAACATGAGCAGGGAAAAGTGTATTATCAAAGCAAACAAATCAAATATAATTTCTAGCAATAAAAAATATAATTACTTAACTGAAAACCTAACTATCAAAATATTTTTTTCAAATAACATTTTAAAACAGTTGGGGGAAAATCATTATGAACTGCTTATTAGATGATCAAGGAATTTTTGTTGATTTTTATTAAATGTGATGACATGGAGATTATTTAAGATGTCGGTATTTTTTAGATGTGCATACTATAGTCTGACATGTTATCTGGGATAGGCTTCAAAATACTTCTGCAAAGAAAAATAAAAGGAATAGATGAAGCAAATGTAGGAAAATGTGGGAAATATTAAATTGAAGCAATGTGTATATGTAAAATTTTAGAATAAAAATAAAATAAAAATGCAATGGATAGTATAATCATAACGTTGGATATAGCCAAAGAGAGAACTAGAGAACTAGAAGATGGATCTGAACAGCGTATCCAGATTACAAGTAAAATTCAAAGAAGAAGAAGAAGGAAAAAACTCACCTTCCTTTGGGCTCACTGCTGCAGGAAGAGTGTCCCAATCAAGGGTCCAAGTAGGGCAAGGGTGGGGAGAAAACATCACTTCAATGCCTTTTTCCTGAAAAAGGAGATAGGCCCTTTCCAAATTAATGAATTAATAAAATCCTGTTATGTTCTAAAGACCAAATTTCTAGTTTCTATACTGGCAAGGAGGAATATAAATTTTAATAATCATCAGGTATTCCTCAAAATACTTAGTTACATAAGAAATGATATGTTGAGTTTGACAGCCCAGTTACTTTACTATAAATTATTATTAAATTTCCTATTTAAAATATTACTGAAGCAACACAGAAGTAAAAAGCTACCTAGAAATATATTGGGTGTCAAAGAGAAAAGTCACCTGAGGATAAAAGTTTTTATCAGAAACAATCCACATAATCAAAAACTGACTCTGCATATTTCCACCAAGATCTGTCTTGAATTATATGAAAATTGTCCCTGCCTAGGAGCTATATTTAAAGGACCAAAAAGTCCCCACTTCAACATTCACCCAACGTTATCATACATACTAGCCTTTTACAAGTACCTACAAAGTCTCTAGAAAAGGATCCTTTTGTTTTAACCAAATGGCTCCCAATATTTTTAAAAAATGATCATTATCCTTCAATACATAAAAAAATTCTCAGATCCCTTCCCCATGTGAAACTTTGTGCATTTACTTATTTGATCTACAGACAGTGGCTTGGCACACACATGGATTCCCAGATCCTTTCCAATCATATTCTGACCACAGCCCATAGGATACATATACATGGTTCATGAATTTATCTTCAGGAATATCTATTCAAAACAAAAATCCCTGAGAATCTATCATTAGCCCTTTGTAGTTAGTTTATGAGATTACTTTCTACTGTGAAAGCCAGCTGAATTCCAGTTCCAAAGGAAATAGTACAAAAATTCTTTTGTTGGGGTAGAGCTGCATCTATAGGTAGAGACGTCTAGAGGACTTCCTTGCCTCCAGAAAGATAAACACATCTCTCTGACATCATCTACTTCTCCCCTACCTCCCTTATTCTAGTCTAGCCATACTGAGCTTCTTGCTATTCCTCATTTCATCAAACTCATTCCCATCTTAGGGTCTTGCCCATGCCCATTAGCAGACACTCTCCATTCTCCCCCTATAGCTCCCTGCCCTGGGCAGCTACTGATCCATTTTCTGTCTCTGTAGATTTGCTCAGGGTCTTAATAGTTGGAACCTCTGCCTAGGACACTTCCTCCAAATTCTCAAATGTTCATTCAGGTTATTTGCTCAATGTCTTCACCTCATCAGATAATCCTTCCTTATCACCCTATCTAAAAAACTACCCTGACCTCCATCACTTCCATCCTCCTCATCCTATGTTATTTTTTTATAGCACTTATCATTACTTAATGTGCTACACATTTATTTGTTCTTCTCTTTATTTAGCTACCTCACCAGAATGTAAGCTCCCTGAGGGCAGTCCAATTTGTTCCTCATATATCCAACATTCAAAACAGTGTCTGAAGTTTAGTAAAAACATATACCTTTTTTTGACTGAGTAAATAAATAAATTTAGAACATCTGGATAATAAGGGGGATTTGGGAGGCAAGATTGTGCCAAAGAAAACAGAAGGAAAAAAGGTGAGATGTGATTGTTAGAAAAGTTTCCTGTTTTATACATTCACTTAGTGCCAATTTCATGTGTCTTCATGGAATCGGCAAAAAACCCCATAACACACACAAAAACTCCCCAAAATGCCTGACTATACAGAAATGAAAAGTAACAGTATAAATAAAATACCTCCACAGAATATAGTAAATTGATATAATATTGTCTTTCAAATATATATGACAATAAACTTGCTGGTATGTAGCAAAAATAATGGCGTATTAAAAAGGAAAATGATGAGGGGAAGGTATAGCTCAATGGCAGAGCATGCGCTTAGCATGCATGCAGTCCTGGGTTCAATCCCCAGTGCCTCCATTAGAAACAAAAAAACAAACAAACAAACAAACTTAATTACCACCCCCAAAATAAAAAGGAAAATGTATTGCATACAATACACACTATCAAGTTAGAACTGAATGAAAATGGAAAGTTAAAGTTATTTTCATATTTGAACATTCTTTTTTTTTAATTGAAGATGCAATCTCCCAAGCAACTTTTATACAATCATAAGATTTAAAATCAGAAATGAATCATACAGAATGTGTATTGCTCTCCAAATTTTAAAAGGAGAAATTGAGAGCCTTTGGTTAAATGACTTACTGAAGGTAATAATGTTAGCTTAGCTACAAAGCTGGGAGAACCCAAGTCACTTGGTCCCTAGCATAGCTTTCCCATGGGCTGTTCCCAAAGCAATGACTGAGAGTCTCAGTCTCAGAGACTGAGAGTGGCAGATCATTTTTGAGAAACATGGAACTCTCTGACAGATGATTCAGGCTCAAGGACTCCCCACTGACTTGACAAAACTTTCTTAGAACTGCACAGAAGTCTGACTTTTCTGACTCAACCTTCCTATCTTTCCTGTCTTCATGCACAGGGATCAAACCTGCATCACATTCTGAAGGCTCTCCCAGCCTCCTCTGGCTGCCTCTCCACTTCCCCTCACTGAAGCTGCTTCCTTCAGTACACTGCTTGCTCCCTATCTTGGAATTTGTTTCTTGGAGGACCTGAACTAACACATCCCCTATAAATTAAAAATTCAAGATTCCTTTATATTTTCATATTATTTCAAAAAGACTTCTTTTTATAATTGTCTATTAGTTTTTTTCTGACTTTAAATTTTAGTTATCTTTTTTATAAATATTTTTAAACAGTTCAAATGTAAATGCCTTTCCTAATGTCATTTTATTGTTGGAAAAGCATAGGCAGAAAAATCTGAATTACCAACTTTTTTCAAGATTCTGCATACGTATGAATTAAAGGCATAGATTTTTGGTTTGTGGAAATTTTAAAAATTAGTATTTTAATACAAAGATTACTCTCTTGACAATTATTTTAAAAAAAACACTCAGGAGGTAATGAGAGATCACTGAACAGTACAACCATCTGATCAAGACACATCAAACTTTGGATCTGCTTTGATATCTGATATCTTCTATAACCAACTATACCATCCTGTTTCATAGTTTCATCACTAGGCTAACAAAGCTTAGCTGAAGAGATAAAGGGCTGGTATCACTACTAAAATCTTCCTGTGCTTTTCCAAATCAGCAAACTTTATGTTAAGTATAGAATTTAAATACTTCCTAACTCAAGTATTTCCGATACAACTCAGATGACTAGCTCAAACTACTTCACAAATTCTCTATTCAAATAAATCTTCAAATAGTCTAAGTTAAAAACAAAACACCTTTGCAAATTTTTTGAATGATAGAGAAAAGAGAGCTTATTGGCAAAAACTTTTACAATTAGTACTATTAGAAACAAATTATGCTGCAAAGAGAGAAAAATCATGTGTTCTTATTATATAAAAAGTCACTAAAATCAAAGAATAAAGTTAAGACAATTCAAAGAATTCAAAAATCTTAAATTTAGACAAAATCTTGGAATGTAAACTGAGATAATCATCTTCGTATTTCTTTAATTCAAATCATCACCTCAAAATTAAAAAAACTGAGACCAAGTCCTTGCAACAGAAAAATATCAGGTTAAAACAATAAACTTGATCACACATAATATGATCTTGGTGTCTCAGATAAATAAAAGCTTTGAGAAAAATACTTAAAAAAAATATATAGACTTATTTGATTCCAAAGACATACAATATTAAAAATCTTCAATTTACCACATTTCACTTAAATGAAAAGACTAGCAGAAATATTAATTGGTCAAGAGTGATATAAATAAAATTTATAACAGAAGTGTGAAAACAACACTGTAAAATGATTATGAATCAATAAAAAAATGTAAAAAAAAAAAAAAGAAGTGTGAACAGATGATTGCAAGTTGGGGTAGGATGCTCAGCAACATTACCACATGGAATCCTTCAAACAAGACTTTAATAAAACCAACTTAAGTACCATTAACTTGGTCATAGTGGGTCTTGGTCCTCCTATAAATAAAGGATCACTTTGCTCCTCTACACATGGGGCTTCATCTAAGTTTGGATGGTGTTCATTTGAGGTGGTCTGCAACTGTGGTAAATGGAGAAACTGGATCCCACACTGGGAAGCCGCTGTTTTTACTCTTGGCACTTCCTGAATCCTCTGGTACCAGGCGGCCAGCAGTGGAAATTCTACCAGCTTTTCCGAAAGTTTCTTACAGATAATTACCTAGGCAGAAAAAGAATGAAAACACATTATTATATATTTTTGTGTGTTATAAGAGTTGATTGAGGTAACTTTACAATTCACACATTTTAAGTTTACAGTTCAAATGAGTTTTGGTAAATTTAGTTTTACAACTACAGCAATAATCCACTATTAGAACACTCAACATCACACCAAAAAGTTCCCTTGTGACCACTTACAATCAATCTCTGCTCCCTAATCAGTTACAAGAGACCTCTGCTCTGCTTTTCATGTGTCTAATTTTGCCTTTCCTGAAATTTCATATAAATGGAATCACAAAATGTGACTTTTTCCTCTTAGCAATGTGTTTTTTTTTGAGATTCATCCATATAGTTGCAATTATCAGTAGTTTGTTTCTTTTTATTAGGATGCAGCATTTAAAGGTTTTTATTTACACAAATTAGAAACATTTGAACCATCACCCCTGATGTAAATTAGTATCTGTTTTCTCTTGGTCAGATGCTTTCTCCCTAGCCCCATCACCAAACTTCAATTTCTTTCAAAATTAGAATGTTCTTGCTTCTTTGTGAGACACTGAATGCTGTTTCCATAGAAACAGTTATTTTACAAACTGATTATGACTTATGATTATGAAGAGATAAAGTAAAAAGGTCAAGTCGTAGAAAGTCTCTACAAATATATCTAGCAATAATCAGTGCCAAAACAGGAGCCAGAAAGAACAAAATTAAAGAAAAAACTCATACACATATATAATTTACTCTATTTTAAACGGGCTTTAAGTTTAAATAAGAATTGATTATAAGCATAGGTTTGATGTTTAACTCTCTTTGTATACTTACTACAAGCACTTAAAACACTGCCTTGCAGAAATTACTCTGAGTGAATGAACAAATGATCAAGGAACCATTTTTTGCTCTCAAAGAATGATCCATTAAATTAGCGTTTTTCAAACTGCTGTTTATGACCTATTGTGAGGTTTTAAAATCAATACAGTAGGTTTTTTAAAAAAATGAAATAAAATAGAAAATATCAGAGTACATAGCATGTAGTAAGGTGGGTTATTTTGTAAGTATTTCTAAGTATATATATTAACATATATAATACAAAGATATATATTTATATGTTCAGTCACCTTGTAAAATGCATTATTTACTGTGAAAGTAAAAAAATTTGAAAAATACTGTCTGAATGGTACTCTGGGAGCCAAAAAGTTTGTAATTCTCACCAAAATACTTAATTGCCTGGAAATAGATTATGTGCTAAAGAAATTGAGCTTTAAGCCATGGTAAATTAATCAAATAAGAAATGTACTCATTTTACAATGAGTACACTTACTCCCCTTGGTAGTGATTTATTCTCATTTGTTAGACACATACGGCATCCTTTTTTCCTTCTGAAAATAAGCTGTGATTAAGTAACAATAATTCATGTTTTTTTAAAAAAAATGAGGTGTTTTACTCTGCAGGACAGGTCATCCAGTTCAATCAACATGCCAGGCTGCTCTGCTAATATCCAGACAGCTCAGCAGGTAATGCACCACATTCATTACACCTAAGAAGATATATTTAAGGAGAAGGCTAATGAAAATGTGTGAAATGAAAATTAAATTTGTTCCTAAGAAATGATTTTTTAAAATGTTACCTGGCTGACAAGATCAAAACCATTATATATATCAGAGTTACTTAAGGACAAGAAAATAAGAGAATTTATTCTTAAAATAATGGTAAAAAATTATTGCTATCAAGACCATAAAATGAAATCCTAGTGGCTTTGTAGTTAATTTTAATAAGGGGCAGAAGAACGTGTATGAATAAAAAGAGAAGCAATATGTTAAACCTATTCAAAATATCTCCTCCTCTGCATTACTTATTAATAAAGCATTTTGTACTTCTTTTACATCATTTCCTTAGTCATGTACTTCAAAAATATGTCATAACTGACAAATGTTTAGGTGAGCACTGTAAGCAGTATAAAAATAGTAAACAACCTAAGTGGAAATATCATTCCAGTTTTGTGTTTTTCCTAACAGTCTAGAACTCTGGTGGGTCAAATCTGAAAATTCTTAAGGACCTAAGACATAGGATAGGATATGGAAAATATAAATTAACCACTAAATGGCATCCATGATTTTTGCAACATGCCAGCCAATAGAGAGATCCCCATTTTATTCTCAGTTTGATCCCAGTGGGAACACCGAAAGAGGTATTTAACGTATTTTTGCTCAAAAACCAATTTCTACAATGATTTTATCAATAAATGTTTTAAAAAAAACTCAGTTCAAAGCATTAGAAGTTAAAATGTAGAAAGTTAAATCATAAATGTTCAAGTTACAAAAATATTCCATGAAGTGGCAACTTCTGTCTTTCAGAAGTAGAATAATCTTTTAAATAGTTCTATCAGAGTGTACCTGCTTATTATAAGTAACTTAAAAATAATTATAAAACTTTCTAGTATCAGAGAACAGCAAGATTTTGCCTTCAAATGGCTATTCATTATTTCTCCCAGATGTTTGCTATTCTGTATGGTAGAATACTCTAGCAAATAAATTAAAGGGAGGGGGAATGATAAGAAGTGTGCATTTTAATTGATTCCTTTTTAATCCATTCCTAAAACTTTCCAGAGGAGAGGGCTTTGTGAGGCACCTTCCATGAAGAAGTGCTGGGCTATTAGGGGTTAACTTTGCAATCTAATATCCTGTGCAGAGGGGGAGGAGCTGGGAGCAGAGATTTAGAAATAACACCTCAGCCCCTCTCTCTGCAATTGTTTTTCATATTAGGCTTTATTCTGTTTAACAAAACTGGGTATTTTCCCTAACTCTTCTATTTTTGACCTCTGGTATTCCAAACCTTGAATTAGCAAAATTGACTGCTCTTTCATATTCTTGACCTTACTCCTGTCGCTAAATATCCTGGCCCTAGATTCAGCTCTGTGTTTCTGATCCAAACCTAGTAACTTGACCTTCATTCCTGGTCATGAACTTGATCTTGATTCCGATCATTCAGACTGCCACTCCATCACCTCAATGCGTGTTAATGCAAGATTAAAGGCTCAGCATCACAGCCACCATCTGAACTGAAACGGCTGCTTCATAACCCAGGATGACTTACAAGAGAAAAATAAATATAACAGAAATAACATCAAAGCTTTGGCAAAGAAAGATTAATTCCTGAAAGAAAATGTGATGATCCAGGAAAAATATAAACAAACAAAGGAAAATATTTAGAGAATTAGTTTACATATAAATGTTGAAACAGAAGAATTTAATCATAGAATATATGTAATAGAAAAGGCTGAGTGTACAAGTTTTCTGCTATTTTAACCAGAGATGAGAACAGAGTTCCTTAGTAGTATTAGGTAGATTTACTCAGCAGAAGTCAGGTTAATGGTTCACCTCACCGAAGAGGGGGAAAAAAACATCCTCTCAGTTAGGAATACTTCCACATCAACTGATTCTAATCAGGTAAATAGTATTCAAATTAAGCTAAAATCAAATGCAAATGAGCTAAAGATGGATGTCTGGATAATAGCAGGCAAGAATTCTACCACTGAACCACCATTGCCCAGCATGTATGTATGGATACTGATCTAAAAATCACCTTTACGCAGGTGAATCCAAATTTTTATGTTTTGTTGCATTTGAAAGCAAGTACTCAAGTCTTCTCTGTCACCTTGTTTTATTTTCCTTGTAGCACTTACCATTATTTGAATATATGTAATTTATTTGTCTACTTTTTCATTTTTATCTTCCCCTACTAGAATATTAACTCCATATGGGCTGGGATCATACCTGTCTTCTTCATCACTGTATTCCTAGTGCATACAACAGTGCCTGACATATGTAGTAGGCTTTCAATGAATTTCTCAAATGAATGAACTATGTTTATGCCACTTTGATTTAATTTTTATGAAATTAGGAACAAACAGTTATCTAAGAAGATCAGGAAGCCATTAAAACCAACCGCATTTCATAATATGCATAATATGACTGCTCTAATAACCAAAGTAAGTAATAAGCACATGGGGGTGGGGTGGGGTGTTAAGGGGGTGAGGACTATCAGAGATAAAGAGAATTTAGAAATCATTTGACTAGGGGGAAAATAGTCTATTTTCTCCCCTCCCAGCTCCATGGACAACATGAATACACATGACAATTACAATACTAATCAATGTCTAAATGATTCCTATATTTCTTTTTCCACATCCTTTAATTTTGAAGTTATTTTGGTTTCTAACATTGTTTTGTTTCCATTTTGAAGAGAAATATTCTTTAAGAAAATGCCAATTGATTAATACCACCTAACTTATCAGTGAGGAACTGGTCTCCAAATATATAGATTTTCATTAGAAATCTTTTCTCATCTGGCAGTAGAGATTCCTGAAGTGCTGGTGATGTATAATCAGAATGAAATCTGATATCTGATTCCTTAGGAAAGGAAAGGGTGAAATGCTTCAAAGCAGAAAAATCCAGCTCTGGAAAGCCAACTGGAAAGCTGCAGAGCTCTAGCTTCCCACGTTCACTCTGATAGTGTTGCTAGCTTTTTTTTTTTTTTACCTACAAAGACAGACAAAAGACAAAAAAACAAAAAACAAAAAACAAACACATATATATGTATATGTACCTGTTCTAGGAGAGAAAACTTTCCATTTATAATCTCCAACAACACTGAATACCACTGCCAGCTATATAATCTTATTGAGCACAGAGATGAGGGTAAAATATTTCTGATTTACTAGTATCTAAAATAATGAAATTAGTATTTTAAGTGACTACTTAATTATAAAATACAGTTGACAAGAGATTTTGGTATTTTAATACTGGAACCTCTAATATTAGCAGGTAATCACAAGAGCAATTTAAAATTAATAATCATAACAATTGCTAACATTTTAGCAACTCAAAACTAAAAGTCATAATAATTAGTAACAATACTGAAAGCAACCATGTGCCAAAACTTGTTCAGACTTTACAACAATTTGTCATTTGTTCTTCACATGGATCCTATTAGATGGGTACTATAATCATCTCTATTTTACAGATAAGAAAATGGAGAAGATATTAATCACTTGCCCAGGAGCATAATGATAGTAAGAAAAGGAATAGGGATTCAAACCTGGGCAGTCCTACAGACTGAAACTTCTAGTAGTGTACCCACTCCTGGTAAACCTTACCAAGAAGTGATGGATACAAGGCAAGAGCACAATATCTGCCAGAGTGAAGTACAGGCCTTCCGCAAACACATGCTCCAGGGGTGGAAGGTCAGAGGCTTTTGCTTTTCTGATGTGAGAAGGCTCCCTGTTGGCAGGAGCAGGGTCCTCGTGTACTGTGAGCTTCGCGAAGGCCACCTTCAGTTCCAGGCTCTCGGGGGAAGAGTCCATCTCCTCCGATGACCCCTGTCTGTGGTCCTTGCTCTGTGCTTTTTCCTTGGCCAGGGAAGGCCTGACTCCAGCAGCCTTCTGCTGCTTCAGCTTCTGCCGCCGGAGTTTGTCATCGTTATGCACTCTCACAGGCTCACTAAGCTTTCTTTCTAGCTCTAATATTTCTGCAGGGATAGTTGGGGGCTGGTCAGAAGATTCTTTGAGAAAACTCTCAACAGCTAAAGGGATGGTAAGTTCACAAAGCCTGGTCCACTGACTAACCTACAAAATAAAACAAGAAATGACAGGATTATTTACTTTCAGTATAGCTAGAAGAAAAATAACTTTCTGTTGGGAAATAAGACTGGTCTGGTGTATTTAAGTCTTGAGCTAAACCATTCCTGGGCGAGGCTTTTATGTTCTATCAAGAGACATATTACAGTGCTTCAGAAGTGATAACATTAAACAATGGAGGTTTAGCACTCCTGTATAATACATACTATCTTTCTGTATCCTCTTACTGAATAAATTCTTGCTTCCCAAAACCTTTAAAGTACATTCCCCACTAAAAAAGCTGGGTTTCCGAAACATTGCTACTTCTGCTCCTGATCATATGTAAAATTTCCTTTAAAAATCCTTAACATAATTAAAAGGTAAAAAAAGAAGTCATTCCCTAAAAATAATGTCTCTAAACCTCATAAATTAAATCTTAAATTCTTGTTTTTCAACACTGCACTGAAATATCGGTATACGCAGAGGGCTGCGTATTTCATTGGTTGCTGTAGTTTTTTTAAGTACATTAAATTTGAAGTTTCTAATGGAAAGTTAAAATAAATATTCAAGTGAACTTTATGGCTTTAAATAACAGAAAAGAGACATTATACTTACTTCAGCACAGGCTTTCAAGCAAGTCTTCTTAAAACCCAGAAGTTCCAAAATTTCCTTCTTTGAGGGGTCTGCTTCATATGATTTCTGGATTATATGTCTCAGTACAACAGCAAGTCCTGCTCTACAGAAACTGTCTGGTCTTTCTACTACTGCAGGTAAACAGCAACTCTGGACTATTGGTGGAAGATCTTGCCTTGAAATAATTTGTATGTCAACATCCTCAGACAGTACATTTTTAAGCAGTAAAACATCAGTGCTTTCTCTGTTGGGGACTAAGCAAACTTTAAAGATTTTGCAGTCACAGTATGATAACAAAAATAAAGTTACAGATGTATGAAGAGGAAAGATGAACCCTTCTATGTGGTGAGAAAAATCCAAGTATAGATATTCTTCTGTAAGACTCTTCTTAATGCCTTTCATTTTCTTCTTTCATTGGGTTACCTGAAGCATAAATTGAAGAGGTTATAGGACTTAGAACATAATAATTGTGAAACTAAAATAAAAGATGAATTTTTCTAGAAATCATCAAGGATTTGTGATAGGTATGTTTCCAAAAGAATCTGTGCTCGGACTGAATAAATGGCCTCCAAAAGAAAGATTTCCACCCTGTGCAATTAACCAGTCTTAAGGCTGATTTTATACCCAGCCCCTTTAAAATGAGCATACCTCAAGTGCTTTGCAATAGAACCCTCCCAGTCTAGTACTTTGAGGTCTCACTATGGTCAGAAAAAAAGATGATTAGGATGGGACATAAGACATTACCAAGAATACCTAGAGGTGTCTGGGGATAACAGCTACAAGAAGCTTTGTTAATGCTGGTCCTTCCATATTACTTCTGTTTAATGACCCTAAAATATAATATTTGGGGGTGGAGGGTGGGAGATATATTCATTCCCTCATGAAAAATGGATTCTCCTACAGTGGAGTTTGACATGATGAACTATTGCATGCTGAATCACAACAGAAAAAATATCTGAAATTCTTCATAACTTAGATGTTGATGACTGAGATATTTCAAAGTTAGTATGTCCAAAATCAAGTTCCTTATTCTCCTGCTACCCACAAAACCTGCTCCTCATGTATCTTCCCCATTTCAGTTAATGGGGCACCATCCTTCAGGCCAAAACCTAGAGTCAGTCTTAATTACTCTTTTCTTTCCCATCCCCATAACCAATCCATTAAAAATTTATTTGACACTACATTCAACATATACCTAGAATCTGATCATTTCATTCCATCTTCATTGCTTCCACTGTCATCCAAGCCATCACTTTCTTCTGAATTATAGCAATTGCCTCCTAATCCTGCTTTCCATCCTCTAGTCTATTCTCAACATAGTAACCAGTGATACTGTTAAAAATGGAATAAGACCATGTCATGCCTCTTTTCAAATCCTCTAATGTCTTCCCATCCTACTCAGAGAAAAGGCAAATCTCCTGCAAAGATCTCCTTGATCTAATCCTCTTTCTATATCTCTGAGTTCAACTGTCCTCTTAGCTCACAGCTCCAGCAGATGTGGCTTGTTGTTCCTCTAAAACACTAGGTACATACCCACCTCAAGGCCTTTGTACTTGATGTTTCTAGTGCCTTGAACACTTTCTCACCTCCTTCATGTATTTACTCAAATATTAACTTCTTGAGATATTCCCTGGCTACCATATTTAACTTGCAAACTCCCTGAAAAAAACCTTTCTATTCCCTTTAATGCTTGTCTTCACAGCATTTATCACTATTGTAACATACTATAGATTTATTTTGTCTTCCCAATAGAATGTTCTAGAGAGTACAAATTTTGCTTTGTTCACTGCTTCACCTAAAACAGGGCAAGATTTATCTATATA